GCTCTCGCGAAAGTTATGTTTCGACTTGTCACGTTACCCGTTCTTTTATGTACCTAGCGCAGTTGGGAATTCGCATTTTCATGTACATCCCAGTACTCTTCCCAGTTGAATGAATAAATGAGCAAGAAAATTACCATGCACTAAGGCCCGGGTGCCGCATAAGGAAAGAACCATTGTACACCTACGTGCTTGGAGATAATGCAGGTAGAAGGGTTGCTTCGGGTACACCACCATGTAAAGTGGTGTTTCTGCATGTACAGTGAATTAACACACATCCAGATAACACCAGAAACCAAACCGGACGGCCTAGCCCACATAGGCTTATAGCCCCCACTGCCCAGAGAGCCGTTACCTTCACCCCCATATCCCTTGCTCACCCCTCTCCACTCATCCCCTCTCAACTTCTCTCATCCCCTCTCAACCACTTTCAACCCCTTCCATGCCCTCTCATCCCCTCTCAACCCCTTTCAACCCCTTCCATGCCCTCTCATTCCCTTCCATGCCCTCTCATTCCCTTCCATACCCTCTCATCCCCTCTCAATCCCTCTCATCCCCTCCCATAATAACCAAATACTGTTTACCATTTAGGACACTGCAAGCCCGGACTCCATGCACTTAGAGTAAATTTAGTTTGCGGTCAAGCGACTATCAAGACAAAATCATGCAGCAAAATCATTTTCCTTTGAAAATATTGAGACTCCACGGCAATTGGTTCTCGGACAATTCCATCGTTCGTCGATTTATTATCATTACCCAATCATAATTAAAAAAAAACCATGTCTCGATTTTCTTGAATATTCGTTGTATGTTGAAATAAATTGATGACAGAGTAACAGCCTCATTATGAGCCACCAGCTGCTAACAAGCTCAGGCATTAGAGATCAGTGTTTATGGGCTTTTATTAACCGCTAGTCAATGCACTAGGTATATTTATCTCGTTATTTCTCTAGTATGTAGGATCGTTAGCACTATCTCTCAATTTTCCAGCAACACACGCAAAATCATGAGACATTCACGATGCCGGAGTAACGTATCATTAAATCGTGGATGGATATTAAGAATAATCAATTAGTTATCCTGAATTTTAGTTGTCTGGAAAATATTATGGGATTATCCGCGGGTGGATGAGGGAGTGATTTGAAATAATTCATTGATATGGTAATTATTTGGAGGATTTTGGAGATGCTTGCCATTATTTTGGTATCAGCCAAGTAGTCAGCTAGGGTTAATTGGATTTATTTACTGGCACAGAGGTACCTGAAGGGATCAGCATTAACAACCCGAGGGAATTAACGATGGGACGGTTTAATATGCTGGAATGGGGAATGGCGAGTTAATTAATTCAGGTAATTGTTTGGGTAATAGTATTTTAAAGAGTCAACTGATGGATATCAGCAGCAGACCGGTGAAACCACGATGGATTGTTGAAGGATTTCCAGGTATTAGATTAAAAACTCTCAGTTGAGTTTTGATTACGGATATCTATCGGGTTTCATCGATAGTTTTCTTCGGGTTCTATCTCATTTGATTGAACAGGCTCCTCTCAAAAACGAAGATCAGTTTCAAATAGGCTGCATCGAGTCTCCTCTTTCAAATTTCTCGACTGACATTTCCCAGAAAATTTGAAACCTGAAGGGCACTACAGTTTCCACTCACCAATGCAGCCACTTGAGAGTGTATTTTCAATTTCACCCAGCAGGATCATCAGAAAGGGGAAAATCCACTTGGTATCGTGTGTCCAAGTGCCCGAGGTATCTCTGGTGCACTCGATGTCATTTTCAAGACCCACTCCTCGATATATAACTTCACTCCAAACATTGTGTCCTTTCTGACAGTTGAGAAGAAAAAAAATAACGGAAATCATTTACGAACAAGGGTGAAGGAAGAAAATAATCCATTTGTTACTGCCAGAAGAGTTGGAGTTGGACAGTGCTGAAGTGTTTTGTCGATACAAACCGAGAAGATACAGGCGTTGACTCCTCCGCAAACTAATCCCGACAAGCTCTGGACTTTCAGTGAATGAGAGAGAGGAAGTTATGGGCTGAAGGCAGCACATAGTCAAGATACATCCCAACTTTGTTGGACGCTTTACAACGAAGTAGAAGAAAATTGTTGGATGGTGTACTTAATGCCAGTGTTGTCGTCCAGTCTGCGGTCAACTCGTGTCCACAGTCTCCAGGCTATTGATCCTGAGGGGGAAGTAGATGAGGTGCTTGATCGTTGGATTTGATCAGTTACAGCTACTTGGTGAGCATCATAGATTATTCTCCACCGATCCTGACGATTAGGTTCAATCAATCCAGTTGATTGCTCCCACTGACGAGCCCTCCGAAGTCCATCTAGTCTGAAAGACCCAAGACAATTATCAATCCCCTATCAATTCTTTGTTTCAATTCCAAATGATATGTGTCAATCACTGATTGCGCTGACGAATCGTTAATTGAAGGAACGAATTCTCAGTTGAAGGTTTCGTAATCAGGATGTTGATGATGGACCCTAGCTATCCTTGAAGGCCTGGTCTTAACGATTCCCCGGAGTTTATCAAGACGAGGAAGGTTATTCGTCGAAACGAGGGTAGAAACGGCGTTCATAACAATTGCGCCTAGCTTGTTATCCTCAAAGCCATTTCTCTCGGAAGACCCCAGCCATTATCTCCCGTCCCTCATTTCTTATACTCTCATTGCCCGCGTAAACCCAGACATTGGAGCACGCTTGAAAAACTGCCCAGCCTTCTGTTGCCACGAGATTATCCCCCGGAGATGTTTTATTCGTCCCTAGAAAAGCTATATTGAGTCACAATGAACGTTACGACAACTATCACCATCTGCTATTCGATTCGCCGAATCAATGAGGTGTGCTGTATTCGGGTCTGTACCAAAACATTGACGTTGGCATTTTGACGTGTGATATTTCCATCAGGTTCTTTTTTTTTTTCATCTCCAGATGCACCACAAACAAAACAAATATCTGCAGGCGGAAATGTGTGACGCGCACTGGCGTGTGCTCCTTTCACGACTTGAAGCATCCACTTTCAGCCTCGATGTACCTTTTATCCCAGAAAATATACATAGATCTCACTCTCACGTACCTCCTCTATCCACCACCCGTTCCATTATTTCAAGGGCTGACGCTGCAAATCTCGTACCACTCTTTGACTACTCGGCATGGATGCTACATCAGTCGGTGAGTGGCACACCAACCGGAATTAGTGAGATTGGAAATACGGGAAATGTTTTTCCCTCTTTATCTGATGCGCCGCATTCTTTCGTAATGTATTTTTTTGTTATAGCTTCATCATGAGATCCTTTCGCGCCACCATAATAGGAATGGAATGATGTGTTTCAAGAACGATTCGTAGATCGTCATAGAAACTCCATTTTGACCCTCAGATTTGACCCACGTAACCATTTCAGGTTCTGTGGGTCAATCCCTATGATCGGTATCTTAAAACTGTTCAAATCGTAAACTCAACTGAATTAATTATCGATTACCGCAATATCGTGAGGTTTAATCGCTTCTGTAGAGGGCGTCCGCCATTTCGAGTCGCCGATGTCCCCGTATAAAATGGCGGCGGTTATTTTTACGCTCCCTCATTTTTTTCAAGACGGACATGAAAGGCAATCTGATGATCGCCCGGGGGTCGGTAACGAAAAAAAATTGTTTATTGTAATCTCACGTAATTGGGCGGGATTAAGAGGGATGCGAGATAGAATGGGATATAATAAGTAAAGCTTTTGCCGGAGATATTGCGGTCCAGTAACAAAACCCCAGGGGCATACCTAAATGGAATACGACGAGGTGCTGGGGTGGCTGTAAGCCCAGCAGCGATTTAATTTACTTTTCTAGTGATTACCCAGCGCTAGTCTCTCACATCATTATGATCGCAATTTATTATATCTATTCAGAGCATTGGAGATGCTCATGAAGCAATATCGTCGACTATTCCCCTTCCAACTTCCGCCAACTATTTTTGCCTCTTTCACTAGTAAGAAAATACTTTTACCGATGAAAATAAAAATCTAAGTGAAGCTCAGCTAAGGCCTTTCAACCATCGCTACGTCGACCCAATGAAATCCAACTCCGACTATTTTTTTTTTCCCGCACTCTAGTCCTTTCAGGAATTTTTTTTATGAGGTCTGGTACTTCAGGAAACTCCAACGTTCGATTACAAATCCCGTTTACTCGTAGTATTGCCTGCCAGAGCTGGAACTCTATCGCGGGTTTCGACTGACGCGAGAAGGTGAAAGATCAGAGCAATCTATAAAAAATGAAATCATAAAAGTTTATGGATTTTCAAAGTGGTATCCATTAATTTTACGGCGAAGGAAAAGTCAATCAAGACTAGTGACGCGAGTGACTGTCACGTAGTGTCTGTATAGATAATTCGTCAGTCGGTCATATGACGGTCATATTTTAATCGTAATAAATAATACGGAATGCATGTCAAATGCTCTACCCAATGTTAAATTCCCAATTCAAGATACAACTTGACAGTCCCGCTCATCCCAAAAGTTTTCGCAATATCGTAAAAATAGTTAGGGAAGTCAAAAAGTTTTTCACTCACAGTTGGAAAGTTGAACGAGTAAAAATGGTCTGTCAAGTGGTGTTTGGAATCGAAAATTGTTCCCTGAAATAACTTTCATCATTCAACGTGTTTCACTCGCCGGTAATTCCATAAGCCGTTTATTCCTATTTTTTCAATAAACTCCATGGTCCGCATATTCACTCCTATTAACAGCAAAATTCACCGCAGTATGCCATTATAATAAACTGAAAATTCCCGTTATCTCAGTGACGTGACATTTCAGAGTAGAATAACACGGTAAAGCTGACGTTTATCAGCATATGCGTCCATCCTTGGTACTGTCAGGTGTTGGCTGAATGTCCCCCATGGGGTGGAGTAAAAGAGAATGAAAAAAAAAGTCTCCGACATGATTACTAAAGTTATACTAGCTGAGTATGCATCATATATTCATCATTTTATGATCATAATTTTCCAGGGCGGTCCAGCGTCGGCATTCCCACTGACCCAGACACTGTTGAACATTTATGGCCGCAGGTCGGCCAGTCCTGATGTCCCAGTTGACCACAACCAGGTTCGTAAATTCATGCATCTCATTACATCCTCAACTTCATTCAGAGATCATTCCACCGTCATATTCATCGTCCTGTCCAAGCCCGGGTCCTAATCCGGAGTCCAGAGCCCCGAGATCGATCCCTCAATCGGTAATCGATCCCTATTTTACCGATGAATTTTCCCGCCCGCTGATTGAATCGAGTACCGACACACGTCCCACCGAGTCGGTACCTTATCCTCCGATTTATCGATTCCTTCCTCATCAGTGGTGATCGCCTATTCCTGGAAATTTTGGACTCAAAGGACGCCCTCGAGTGTGAATATTGCTTCTTGTAAATAGTCAGCTATTGTTTCACGATTTTTTTTTATGGATTTTTTTTCTTTCGCCCATTGGGCCACGGTTGAACAAACAATTTTCCGATCAAAAGGTCAATTCTACTCGCGTCAGTGCCAGATACACGTTACATCAGCTTTTTTTTCCCCTCCATTCTTTCCGATTGGCTTTTGTACCGGGGTATGGAGAGAGGTGAGAAAAAATATTGGTAAAAAATGGGGAATGGGGTGACTACCATTCACCTGACGCGACGGTCTCTTCTATTTCCTATGTTCTTGTCTTCAACGTCGGAGCACTATGGCATTATCTTCCGTATTAATTTCCTCTCGGTTCCTGGTGTACTGCAGCTTATTGTGTGCATCGTGCGAATATGCGTTTGTCATGGAATTAACGGGAAAGGGAGGACGAGGAATTGTTTCAGGGTAAGATAATCGATACAAGGGTGACAATTTGAGTGGATTGGATCCGCCATTTTTCAACGCCTCTCCACGGTCGTGTGTTATTACGGCACATTTAATTACAGAAACTTATCACAAAGACAATTAATTACGCGACCAGCGACCCGCGAACCCCGGACCTGATCTAGGATTTTGGGAAAGAAAATGGGAAAGGAATCCCACAACCCAGTTTTTAAAATTTTATCGTCAGTCCAATTCAGAACCGCATGTTTACTCTCGAAAAGGGATCGATCTAATTTCCTCCCTTTCCCCTGGGAATCCACCCCAGTATGCCTCCATTTACCTCATTATGGCCAGAATATTCCGCGAATAAGCGCTTTTCAGTGAAGTACAGCGTGAATTCAGTGGTTTGACGTAGTCAAAGTGTTTGAGTCTGTGTTTGACACGAATGCTGCTTTTCGAGTCCTACTCACATCAGTCTGTACCAAAGAGTCGGCACTTGCGGAAGTTCACTCCATCGAACAACCAGCAATTGTTCGCATACCCTTGCACAATTATCATCCCTTGTTGCGCAATTGTGCAGTACTCCTGATAACTCCAAGCCCTCTTCCTAAAAATCTCCGGCCAAATGGCACGTGATTCAGGATGAATCCATTTGTCTGAAGAATCGCGGTCGAGTGGTAGCCACGTGCACCGAAGGTCAACGACGATCAGCTGTACGAAGTTTCGAGAATTGTGTCATGGCAGTGTGTCAATCATGATCGATTGGGTGTCGATAGTTAGGCATTCGCGGCGACGATTTAGTAATTACTTCAATGCTGTACCGATGAAGGTTCAACGGATCAGATCCCAAAGATCAACGTCTTCCCGGAATGACCATGACATCTTCCTGGAAAACAACAGTTGGTGTTGCCTAAAACGCGTGAGTTGATGATTCCATGGCTCCCCATCGGCAATTTAATCCGATGACTCTCGTAATTATCAATTTGCCGAATATAATTAATGATCGAATATTTGTGATGTATACTGCCCATGTAATGCACTCAGGGCGAATGTACAACTAATTGGTACGACAAAGGTAACTGTTGCTCATGTATCCATTAATAATCATTACCCCAAATTTACGAGGGAAAATCAACGAGAGAATTAACTCGAATCGATTTATTTGACCCGGGAATATCTCACCGTTAAAAATATATCAATATCATTAAATCACGCTGCAACATTCGTAAATGAAAACAATCCCGGGAGATATAAAATCCAATTTTACTCTCCAAAATACCGCCTACCCGTTAAATTTGCTTATTATTCCTGATGCTATACTTAGAGAAAGGCATTAGTGGTTAATTCATGACCCGAGGCAATGAGCCAGAAATTCCTAATAATCCCCTGTTGAACAATTCAAGGCTTTGTTTATTCACTCTTTGCGATGTTTTTTTCATCGTAGAGTTAACGCTGTCTAAGTATAACAGTCCATTCACGAAAAGGTTGGGTAAAATATATATCTGGATAGTTCATCCGTCTGTTGATTCACTTTTACGCGGGTTCTTCAGCTGAAGCCGCTTCAGTGTTCGATCAATCTTGGATTTAGAGGGGATTAGAGTCTAGGGGCGTCAGATCCACCATTCGTTATTGAACTGTCTCTGAGTGTTGTTGTTGTGATCAGTCTTGGTGACATATTGCCATGGAATAGGCTAGCTTTCTCGGGATTACGATGATGATATTTTTTCTCCCCTCGAGGGCAGCCGGGCATTTGTCCAAAAAAAAAATTCAGTTGAAGGTGGGTTTGATCAAAAGATCGCGACACATAATTATACACAACAATTAACCCCACATCACGGTTAAATAATTCTTGAAAGACTAGATCAATGATATTTTTATGGAGTCCTTGGAATGAATGAATTCCCTTCCCCTGTCCCTTAAACTATAACTAACAAATAATTAGTTATTAATCTTACGTCAGAGTTGAACTCTCATGTAATTCTGTCTTAATTATATATTTCTTATTTATTACCTTATAATGGAAATGTTGTGGATATTGCTGTTGCTCGTTGGTTTTTTTTCGGTTTTTTTTTTGGATTAATGGCGGATGCTTTTTTGCAGAAAATATATTATCCGAGAGATGCTACTAGAGGGGTAGATGATCATCTGCCTCCGCCTCCATCGCCACCACTTCTCAAAGAAACTGTCCAGCTTGATGGAGTTTCCAGACCCAATTCCGTGGAGAGAGTTCTTCACTCTGATGGTAGCCAACATGTTCAGGAGAAACACGATATGGTCAACAAGGTAAATTTTGCAGTATCGCATTTCTTCCCATGTTTTGGGAGTTTTTGAGATGTAAATTGGATGATGTACGGTCGAATGGTCGAGTAATATGGATTTAATTAGTAATTATCAAAAATTAGGGGTGATCCTGGCGAGTAATCTTTTCGCTAATAACGAATTGAATTATTTTGTGGGAATTTAACGGGGGTGGGCACCTATTGAAGGTCTTGTCCCGATAAATGATCAATCGAGCCCTTTTTATTCGCTCGCGTCTAGCGCAAGCTCGGAATAAGAGATTAACTCCATCTGTTGGTGGTCACTGTTGCCACCGACATCTCCACCGTCGGCAAGGATTTTCCTCCAGGTCTCACGCTCTACCTTGCCGATCATCAGGAGTGACTTTCTAGGGGTCAAAGTCTCGGGCAATTCGATCGTTGGTAGAATGGGGAGTCCCACACTTATCGCATACGTTTAATAACTCGTATCGCTGAACGTGACTTACACGCGGCTTTTTTTTTTATCAACGGTGCTTATCAAACAAAGAGTCATTATTTCGCGCCCCGTGTTGAGTCTGAGAAAATAGTCACGCCTCGAGGGAAAAACTGGGAACGTTATATTCTCCGATATTCATTTCGCGGTTATTTATTTATGAGTTTTACCCAAGGGTCTGACGTTTCGAAATTTTATTGACATTCAATAATTCATTACCTCGGCTTTACCATTTTTATCTTTTCGAAACACTTTTTCATATTGAACTCGTCCTCCTCGAAAATTTACAATTATTATTTCAACAATCGTCGGCTATAATTAGAAAAATTTTAAATGCAATCAAATATTCAGCATTTGAATCTATCCTTACCTCGAGGGGATTCCCAGAGATTCCTAGTAAAAAATATCTACCCGCGAATATCTTGAATATATTCAAAATATAAATTGAATACACATTTCGGGAAAAAAATATCTGTTATAATATTTTAATTATATTTTGTAATATAGAATTGAAAATTTCATTTCCCCGAATTTTGAGTCCCAGTATTTTCTCTTTCTCTGGAAAATTCCCAAAAAATGATAATCGAATCCTAAAATTCTCAATTAATGGTGGCAGCACGTTCGCTCGAACTCCCGGAGGTGGGAGTAATAAATAAGACCTCTGCGTCACCGGTGGAGTCACCGGGACAACTACACGTGCAACAGTCTACCTGCACTGCTGGTACACTGCGACACACCTCGAATTATTTCGAATATTTTGTACACCTGTGATTAGTGAACATGTGAAAACGAGTGAAGCCCCATAATGTGCACGTCAAAGGGAATCAGCTGACAATTAAATTCAACCAATTTCCACCCCACGAATGATAAATCATCATCAATACCCCGAATTTATTTACAATAACAATCTCAGTTTCTTATTTTTTTTTTTAATTATTGAACCGAATCGCACGGTCATTGCGCGGTAGTTTTCCTAAATAGTATTGATCCAACAGATAGCGGTAATTATTTATGATGTGGCGGGAATTCCATTACCGTAAGTACTCCCGAGGAATTTCTTCATTATGGAATTTCAAATTGACCTGCGGCGATTTTAAATTAGGGTGTGGATTTTTATCGATTATAAAATTAATTTTTCGTCAAATTAATTTCTCGACGTCTTACCCCGTCTCTCAGTCGCAACTGCTGATGATTTACGAGAATGGGGAATATTTTCTGAATGAACCGAATGTTCTTGCCTGTTGGTGGAACATCTCGAGTCGTTACCAAAATGGTTTTCACGGGATTATGGGTTGTTTGGTTTGAGGAGGCGACCTAGATTGCTTGGGGTTTATTATCGTATTACGAGATCATCGGTATATTCGAGGGTCGCTGGGACTATCTGCGAGCAATTCGATGCATTTTAAATGAAATCGATTCTCTCGAAAAGAAAAAACAAAAAATACCCATATTTTTTATAATATATAAACTATTACCATTTGAATGCGGAAAAAAAGTTCAATGGAGATTCAAAAAAAAATTATTTATATATTTTTTCAATTGGAAAAAATCGTTGAATAAGTAACGATTAAAGTCCACTGAATCGGTAATCTTCAAATCCGAGAAATTTATTTCGCATTAATTCGCGGGAAAATAAAAAATATAATTCTTCTCGATTAGGGTGTTGAGTAGGACTTCCGGTTGTGCAGAAAAAGATGAAATGTAATTCTCGAGATATGGGAGAGTGTTATAACATAAAAGTTAAGGACAAAGCCTTTATTTTACTAGTGAAACGGGACAATGTGTACTCAGACACATCCACTTCATGTAAAAACGAGGGCCGATGGAACTCAAGGGCGTGGGTTTTTATAGCGCGTAAAGCTGATTTGCATGCCTTTTCTTTTTATTAGGAATACGTACCTCACATTGTCATCGTCCGTTCAATGAGCGATGAAAAGAAAAATAAATAAATCTCATTCGGAAACTGAAGAAAAGTTTGAAGTGCAAATGTCAGTTTTTCTCTGACTCAACGGTACCATTGTCCCGGCAACTTGCCGCTGGCATTTTTAATTATAGAAAAAACAATCATTATCCAAAGTTCGTCCTACTTTCTCAAATCAAAGCGAATGTTTGGGCTTTTCATTTACTTCTCTCTGCAATGAATAAGAATTGAAATTGTTGTGTCATGATTAAAACTCGAATGAATTCTGAATTCGCTACGCAATTTATTCCATTTGATTAATCAATTCTTTTTTTCGGGGGGCGGGTTGTTTTTAATTTATAAAATTGGTTGGAATTGGTTGACATTTAATATAGCGGAGTATTTTG